CTTCCTTCGTTCCTTCTCTCTACTCTTTGTCTCTCTCTTTCCTCCTTCTGCGGCCCAACTCTAGTAAGAAGGGGTTTATTTATTTATTTATTTACATGAGACTTATATACCGCTCATAACCCCTAATGGGTCTCAGAGCGGTTTACAGACTTTACTACTATACAGTAGTGATTGAACCTACCTAGGGCCACATTTCACAAGGGGAGGGACTTCCCTATCGACACCCTGTTGGCAGCGCTTCTTTTTCTTTTCCCGGCGGGCTCTGAATGTTGTTGTTATTCCTGGCCTCTTTCTGGCTGCCCGGCGACCTTCTCCTGGAGGCTTGGTGTTTTTGCGTGCAAATGTTCTTTCCGGCTGCAGCTTCTGGCTCACGTCCTTCCGGCTCCAGCCGTGCTGCGCCGTCCTGTCTGCTTCGCCTGCATCCCGCATCCTTACGTTCGCTCCGCCTTCCATCAGGTCTGGTCATCCGGAATTCAGCCGCCATTGTTGTTTCGCCACCGCTGTCTTCACCTCCGTTGCTGCTGCCAACACTCCTGGCACGAAACCAGGAGGTGGGTGCCCCCTGCCACCTAGGGCAGGTACCCATTTATCTACTCGTTTATTTATTTATCTTTCGAACCGCTGGGTTGGCGGGAGCTGGGACGAGGGCCGGGAGCTCACTCCGGCCGCGGTGGGGAATCGAACAGCCTTTAAGGCTGTTCGCTACAGATGTTACAGGCAGGCGTTGTATTACCTGCGCCACCGCTCCCTTCTTTCTTCACTTCCCCCCCTCCCCCGGCTAGGGAAGGGGAGGATTTTGAAGATGCCTCCCCCCCTTTTGCTTCCCCTTCTGACATCACCTTCGGTGATGTCATGGGGCATTGCATATGCTAATGAGCTATTATGCTAATGGACTAGTAGCTATATGCTAATGAGCTCCTGCAGCTCTTTTTCTATGAAAAGACCCCTGGCTAAACCAATCAGTTGTTCCATATCCGGTTCTAACTGTCGCTTCTTGACCCTTATACAGGTTTCTCAGGAGATATGCGAGGTGGTCTGGATCTCCCATCTCTTTAAGGGCTTGTCACAGTTTGTTGTGATCCACACAATCAAAGGCTTTAGCGTAGTCAGTGAAGCAGAAGTGGATCTTTGTTCCCCATAAAGAGACAATTTCACTTATCTACTATATATGAAGCAGCCTTCACACTGTCTATAAGACTATTCTGGCTTTCATAAGCATGTGTTCAGTACTAATATGCAGCATGAAGCGTTGTGTATTTACTCTTAACTGGCAAATCTGTAACAGCATATTGTATAAGGACACTAAAATAAGAAAAAAAGAACTACAAATGTTTGCCCACCCTCCATGGCCTTCACACTGTCTGCAATCCCTCCCTCAACCCCTCCCTCAAAAGCAGACTAAATGCCTTGTCTAACCACTGTTGCCTTACCTCAACATAATCTCCATGGCTGCAGGAAGAATCTTCATTAAGCACCTGGAATGGATCTTCAAAATGAACACCAATGATGTAACCAGGAGTAACCAAAACATGCCAGGAACAATTAAGATTAGGAGGATAGGTTTGGCCATAGTTTGGTGAAGTGATCACACCTCTGTTTGCATGCAAGTAACCACCACAACCTAAATAAAAGGGAAGAGAGTACAATTTAATGTTATTCAATCCACATTCCATTCAAATCTATAAAACCAAATATTATTAATTTAAAGCTTCAGTTATACAATTTGATCTAGAATTTTTCCTACCAAACCAGGGCTAAACCTGAGTAACGTTATGTAGGATTGCACTGTGAGTTTTTTAGCACAGCTCCAGAACAAATGTACTTAAGGCTGCTCACAACAATATTAAGACAAAATAAAATAATAAAACCAACCAATAATAATAACATAGCCAACCAACAATAACCACACCAAACAAGACAGACTAGCACAATAATTTAAAATAATCCAGACCATCCTAAATTAAACAAAATAAAAACTGCAGAGTAGAAAGTTAACCAAACCAAGACATAATTAAAAAAAACTGTAAAATCAGTCAATAAGAATCCATAATAATTTGTGGACATAAAAGAGAGGATAAAATAAACTATGCAGATTTTACAAGAACAAAAGTCACCATGCTCTGAGAATCACTAGTTTTCCCCTCAATTCTGACTCTATCAGATTTCCTTTCATTTTCATGAGGTGAAATGGTCTCATAACATCTCCACGTGGTAACAATGCAAACTACCATCTCCTGAACATTACTAATTTTCTAGCTAAAAACCTTCTTGTGGGAAAAACATTTTGCAGTTTTGCTATGTAAAACTAGATTCTTTAAAAGGATAATGGGATTTGACCCCAAGATATGCTGACTGACTCTTTGAAATATCAAATAAATGTGCAATATAGGATACTTGGAGCACCAACAGAGGTATATTTCATATGGCTTTTCCCTTGTATTAATTTACTGGCTACTCACAGCCAAATTGTTCCCCATAATTTGTTATTGATATGATAGTCCTACAGCAAGCATGGTACAATTTCTTCAACAGATAAATTCTCAAAATGTAGGAAGGTCTAGGAACCTGCTCTAGTATGAATTTAAAAATGATACAGATTGATTATCCATTATTTCTCCAGAATAAACACTTTTTTTTGTTTCAGAATACAACTTAAGCCTGTTTGCTCTATTAATCATATAACCCAGTTTTTTAAAAAAAATATTCTCTTTCCAATTTTTTAATTGCACAAATAAAATTGTGCCTTTGTTTATGCAGTGCACTATCCAATTAACTTAAAAAGCCACAGCATTGCAAAGGAATTTTGCAACCTGGCTGTAAGAGAAATGTTGTGTTTATTATGTACTTCTGGACAAATATCAAAAAGTTTCAGCAACTATCTTTTTGGTAATTCTGCATCTCCTTCAAATTTACATTTAAGACACTGAATAAATTTAAATACATTTTTTGGGGGCGAAAACCCTGCATTGGTAGATTCTTAGAGTAATATTTACATTTAAGACACTGAATAAATTTTTTTGGGGGGGAAACCCTGCATTGGTAGATTCTTAGAGTAAATATGTTAAGAGGATACAAGCTGATATGGGCAGGCAAAAGTACTAAAATAAAATGAAATTGGGGAGCCCTACGAGGAAAGGCTAAGGGCCTTGGGAATGTTTAGTTTGGAGAAGAGGAAATTGAGGGGGGACATGATTGCTCTCTTTAAATATTTGAAAGGCTGTCATTTGGAGGAGGGCAAGGAGCTGTTCTAGTTGGCAACAGAGGACCCGAAACAAAGGGTTTAAATTACATGCAGAAAGGCATCGGCTGGATATTAGGAAACACTTTTTCATGGTCAGAGTGATTCAAAGGTGGAATCAGCAGCCTAGAGAGGTGGTTAGCTCCCCTTCACTGACAGCAAGAAGAGACTGGACGAATACTTGTCAGAGATGCTTTAGGTTGGTCCTGCATTGGGCAGGGGGTTGGACTAGATGGTCTGTATGGCCCCTTCCAACTCTATGATTCTATGAAAATCCTTTTTAAAAGTCTGAAACAGAGAAGAGTCAGACTCGACTGCGTGACTGAACAACAACAACAACAAAAACAGAGAACAAAGATATACTGCAAAAATGCAACTCACTTTTGTGGAAAGAAGCATTAAACCCAGCACCAATGACACTTTCATCTGAAGTGAACTGAATGAACAGAGAGTCCCCATTTGATCTTATTGGTCCAGGAATTTCACGGCCACATACAGTGGACAGAACAGGTGCTAGGCTGTTGTCTCCTAGGAAAAGAAACAGGACAGTGTGGCACTGAAATGTACCCAAAGTGAAGGCTCCTATACCAGCTGCTTGCAATATTTCCCACCCACCCCCTTTTAAGAAGCCAAACTTTATAAATTATACCGCAAAGTTCTCCAGTCATTGACATTGGTAGCCAGATCTAGTCAGATAGTTATTCCATATATCCCCACCCTTTAAATACTAATAGAGAAGCCTTCAGTGTGCATGGAAATATCTCGAAAGGCTTGCTTCACTATCTAAGATCACAATATTATTATATACCTTGAAAGGAGTGTTCTTTGTCATAATGAATTACACAGATCTTTTATGATTTCTTTTATTACAGATACTTTTGTACTTTGGGAAATTTGTGCTTGCTGGTTGCAGGAAGCCAGTCACATAAGCTGCACAGCCTATGCCAGCTGCACAAGAGTCTTGACAAATGAGGACTGCCGTGTGTGGGAGGGGAAGGCAGTGTGTTTTGGACACCAGGAATTAGTAGCAATTCAACTGTAAAGTACATTTGATTTCTAGAAAGTAGAACAGCCCTCCCCCCAAAAGGGAGGAGCCATGGCTCAACAACAGAGCATCTACCTTGCATTCAGAAGGTCCAGGTCCAATCCCTGGCATCCCTAGTAAAAAAGGATCAGATCTCAGGAGATACACAAGGCCTCCATCTGAGACCCTAGATAGTCACTGCTGACTAAGGACTTTGGGACAACAATGGACTCAGTATAAGGCAGCTTCATGTGTTCACGTGGGTTGTCTGAGGTCTCATCCTTTAGTGCAGCAGGCACACATAGAATCTACTGGAAACACTTGTGACTAGTGTGGGAGTAATGTGTGGGAGTCTCATGTCACTAAGAGTCAAAGGCAAGGCAGGACAAGCCAAGCACCAGATACTATATTTCATTTTAAATTGTGATAATAATTATGGGGGATTTAAAAAAACCAGGTCTTCTGTTTGTGTCTCATATCACGGGAAAGTGCTGCCATTTCTCACCATCTCTGAAGACAAGTTTATCATAGTTGCATGAGCCATGAGTCTCAATGTCTAGAGCCAGGATGTTGAACTCCACTGTGGAGTTTCGTGATCGGATAACCCAGATGCAGTTTGCCAGATTACTGTAGTCTGAGGGCCAGCCTGGCGAGAACAGGAACAATGGAGCATTGCTGGCTGTTGCTACACCTCCACAGGCACCTGTGACAAAATAATTTAAACAGAAGTTAAATTGATGGGGTGATAGTATTATAGCCTTTCATTAACTGATAAGACAACACTTGAATTGTTGGCAGGAGAGCACATGGAGATACATTCAGTAATTCTCTCCCAAACAGTGTTTATTACTTGCTTGACATTTTAGGTGATATTAATATCTAGTGTACATCAGCTGAAATTTTATCTCCATTCATTTATGTTCTTAGAGTATGTCATCTGTACAAGGCCCAAGCATAATTCCCCTGTGCTGGATACAAACTTGTAGTATGTGCCCTTACACAATCTTATATGCACACAATCTCATGAGCCATTTTATAAAACTATCCTGGACATTTGCTTTATCTCTGGCTCCACAGCCTAAAGGAAAACAATTCCAAATTGACATATATTCTGTATTGTGAACTAGAGTGACCCTACTTCACATGCTTTAGGGGCACCCTTCTGAAAGGTTTGTTGTCATTAGATTATACTGGTCCATTTTGCAGACCAGAAAATCATAAACCAACAATCTACATGTTTTCATTGTGTGTTACCTACATGACCAGGAGACATACCTGTAGGAACGGTCTGTCCAATGTCTGTAGGTGCTTCCACTGCATACCAGTCCAAAAGGAAACCTTTTCCATTTACAGAAAAATCAGAGATGAACTGAAGAGTAACTGAGCTTCCAGAGGAAGTGAATGAAGAAAGGGTTGCACCACAGTATATTCCAATGAGACGAGAGTGTATGTTGGGACCATCATAGACCTGTTATTAGTGAGATAATATATTAGTAAGGATATCATGTCCATGCTGTTTTCTGTAAATGCTGAATGAAAAGTACATTACTTGTTGAGTATTTCAACTTCAGAGCTAGTATTCAGACTTAAGAATTCACTACTTTGAAGGCAGGGTTGCCAACTCCAGAATGGGAAATTCCGGGAAATGTGTGGGTGGAGCCTGGGAAGAGCCAGTAGGGTGTAATGCCATTGACCCCCATCCTCCAAAGCAGCCATTTACTCCAGGGGAACTGGTCTCTGTAGTCTGGAGATCATTTGTCATTCCAAGAGGTCTCCAAGCCCCACTAGGAGGTTGGCAACCCCATGGTAACAGTGGGACAGAAGGGTCTCAATGCTTCACTTGAAATGGCTTCACTGTGGACGGCTTTTACAAGGAGAAAATAACTCCTATCTAACTTAAAGAGAAAAAAATGAGCATCCTTAGAGAGAACATATCTTTATTACTATAGCACATAAAAGGAGGTTTAAAAAAATGCCTGAACAACAAAACACCATGAGATTTCTTTTCTCTTTCCAATGATTCCAGAATTGCACTAAAACATGGAATGTAAAACAAGCAGGTATCTCCTTAGAGTTCAACCTTCATAGGCTCTTGTAGTAGGCTCTTGTAATGTTTACACCCAATTATGACTGTTTCTGCCCAACTCACTCTCTGGTCACCAAGGAAGAAAGACTACAATTTTAAACATCAATTTTGCTATAGGCTCTTGTAATGTTTACATCCAATTATGATTGTTTCTGCCCAACTCATTCTCTGGTCACTAAGGAAGGAAGACTACAATTTTAAACATCAATTTTGCTGTTATAACTTCCACTGAATTTTATGGGGTTTTCTTCTGAGCAAACATGGATTGGCTTGTACTGCAATGTTCTACTTATTATACAAAAGTCAATGTGATGGTTCAGTACTAGATTATAACTGGAGAACTGGGTTCAAATCCTCATTCTGGTGGTGGCCTCCTTGGGCCAGTGACCATCTCTCAACTTTAACCTTCCTTACAGGATTGTTATGAGGATAACACAGAGGGAGGGAAACTTTGCTCCCTTCCCTGAGCTCCTTGAAAACAGGGAAGATAAAGTAGTAGTAGTAGTAGTAGTAGTAGTAGTAGTAGTAGTAGTAGTAGCAGCAGCAGCAGCAGCAGCAGCAATAGTACTAGCACTACCAACATAATCATAACATTTCTTGGCTATGTGGTTCAATTATAAGCAGATCTCTGATCTGTGCAACAGCCTAGCTCTTAAAGTTATGAAAAAAAGTTTCTAGGGATGGACATGAACCGGCTCATGAACTAAAGTTCGTGATTAAATTTGGCTGGTCCATGAAGTGAAGTTCATGGCAGGTCAAAACTTTCCATGAATTTTCAAGCTGTTTGTGGAGGTTCCTGCTGGTTCATGAAAGGATATATTTCCAGACAGACTGTCTCCAATCAATCTGTTAACCAAACTTCAAAGCAATAGGTCAATGACCGTGAATAAAACTTATATATAAGCAATGGGGAGGGGGGACTTGGAGGGCATGTAGAGGAGCATCTGGGGGAGGTCCCCTGTGACTTTGATGTCTCTAGGTTGCACAGGATCAATTCTCTACACTCCTGAACCTCAATGACAGGTGGTCATTTTGACAGGTGCAAGCTAGAGACGCCAAACTCGCAGTGGACCTCTGGCTGACTCTTCTCTACCTGCCTTCCAAGTTTGATGAGGATTGGATTTATGGGGTGTGAAGGTGCCCCCAGGAAAGTGTATAGAACAGGAGTATATAGAACAGACCCTGATCAAGTTAGAGATATCAAACTCACAGGAGACCTCCCTCTGATGCTCCTCTAAATGCCCCCAAATTATGTGCAGATTGGATTTAGGAGGTCTGAGTTATGCCCCCCCCCAAAGAAGATGCCCCCCAGGAAAGTGCTTTTGGGGGAAAAGGTGCTTCCAGGAAAGTGCTTTCCAGGGAAATGACAGATGGTCATTTCCCCAGAATGCACATTCCTGAGGGCACCTTCTTTGGAGAGTTGTCACTTGGACCCCATAAATCCAATCCTCACCAAACTAGGAGAACAAGAAGAGGAGAGTCAGCCAGAGATCCCCTGGTTCTAGTGAAACACAAACCTCACCAACTGAACCAGTTTGGCCCCTAAAAGTTTGTGACAGTTCATGCTTTGTGAACTGGGTATGCCATGAACCATGAACGGAACTGCATTTTTCTGGTTTGTGCTCATCCCTAATAGTCAGACATTTCATTAGTGATCATTCAGCCTCAGTTCTTCATATTTTAAAAGTGTAATATGTTTTAATTGATTTCAAAACTCACAATGTGAACCAAAACTAAACTCAAGACATGGACAACAACAAAACTGGGAAGTTTTGTAGGATGAGAGATCTTGTGTTTCAGAGAACTGTCCTAGGTCTTTTCAAATTGCTATATGGCAATTTGGACTGATGGTTGTGAACCAGAATTTGGTGGTCTGAAGTCTTGCTTATGGAAAAATATTAAATTATGTATCAAGAAGAAAATGTAAACATAGTTTGTGCTAGCATTGGTACATTTTTTGCCAACAAGGATTTATATATGTGTGTGTGTGTGTGTTTAATCTCTCCACTACTATGCTGTTCCCAAGCACAGCTTTTCCTTTCTCCTATACAAGTAAATGGTTGACACTCACTTCTCTAGGGAAAAGTAAAAAGATGTGCTGGGGAGAATGTTGCAATGAGCAAATCTATGTACTAAGCCCCATAGAGGGTGACATGACCTCCACAGGGACACAGTGTATTTTACTGAACGGATTACACAAATGCACTATGTACCTTCTCACCCAAGAGTTCTCTGAGATGTACAAACCCTGCCCATGCACACATCTCACCATCATAATGATGGACATCTTACATATTCAAGTGCTGTCAAGTGGCAATTGCCTTGTGGCGACCCCAGCAAGGGGTTTTCAAGGCAAGTGAGAAGCAGAGGTGTTTTGCCATTGCCTTCCTCTGCAGAAGAGTGAGATCTGAGTCAAGTGGCATCTTAGAGACCAACAAGATTTTTGAGGTATGAGCTTTTAAGAGTAAAAGCTCCCTTTTTCAGATCTGACAAAGGGTGCTTTGACACACAAAAGCTTACACCCACAAAAACTTGTTAGTCTCTAAGGCACTAGTGGACCCAAATCTAGCTGTTCTACTGCAGACCAACTTGGCTTACCTCTGAAACGATCTTCCTCTTCCGAGTCTTCCTTGGTGGTCTCCCTTCCAAGTACCAACCCGGCTTAGCTTCCAAAATCTGACAAGACTGGACTATAACCACGCTGTCTTCCCTTCCATGGCCATCTTGCCAGTTACATATAAAACCCCAAATGGCCAGTGGTCAGGGCCAGCCTTATTATAGGTGACTCCAGCCAGCTGCTCAGGGAAATTCTTTGTAAGATAAGAATAGATATGAACAATTTTCTGTATGCAGTGCTGTTCTCTCTCATTTATTTATGTTGTGCTGGAGTGAGAGAAGGAAGGGTAAAAGAAGAACAGGGACCGTGAAGCTTTTTTGAGGCAAGAAATCAAAATGACATAGGTAGGAAACCTCAGGAGCTACGGTGGCTCAAGTGGTTAAGACGCTGAACTGCAGGCTATGGAAGGTCGGTAGTTCAGCAGTTCGAGACCCAAGTGTGCCACATGACGGAGTGAGCTCCCGTCTCTAGTTCTAGCTCCTGCCAACCTAGCAGTTTGAAAGCAAGAAATAGCAAGTAGATAAATAGGTACCACTTCAGTGGGAAGGTAACAGCGTTCCGTGTGCCTTGGTGTTTAGTCATGCTGGCCACATGACCACGGAAATGTCTTCGGACAGCGCTGGCTCTTCGGCTTTAAAACGGAGATGAGCACCGCAACCCTAGAGTCAGATTCGACTGGTTTTCGAGCAAGGGAACCTTTACCATTACCTTTAGGTGACCTCAGCTACAGATTTTGTACAAGAAATCCATGGGAGAAAGGATGAAAAAGAATGGTGGAGTAATGAGTCAGAGGTATAGAAGAGGTAGGGAGAACCCCATGAGTGAACCTCAAGGCTTAGGAACCAGTAAATAAAAACAACTGAAATCAGGCAAGACACTATGTTAATATTTTGCCCTTTAACACCACAGTGCTTTAAGCAAACCTGTTACCATTAGTGATGCAGTAAAAAAGAAATTAAGATAGAATTGCACTAGGTAAAGGTAAAGGTTTACCTTGCTTGAAAGCCAGTCAAATATGAAAATATGAAACAGCTTATGAGAAAGAACACTGTATTGCTTTTCTCACAGTTTTTATTTGCAGCATATGCTTTAAATTAACAGCTAATATAGCAGCACTATGATTTTAAAACTCCAGAGAGAAGGAAATATGACACAAATTCCCTTTATGTGCCTTGAACTTTGGGTAGGAAAAGCAGACTTATTTATTAATTTATCGGGTACACAATCATTCTCCCTTTCTCTACTTTATCATCACCACAATGCTGTGGGGTAGGTGAGGCTGAGACTGTGTGACTGGCATAAGGCCACTCAGCAAGCTTCCATGGCAGAGTGGGGATTTGAACCTGGGTCTCCCAGCTCCCAGTCTGACTATCCATCAGAGCTAACCTCCTTCCTCAAATAACGCAACATCTGCAATAAAACCCATAACACACAAGGAGGACAAATAGGGGACATGATTCAGGGAAGCACCTCTGGGGAATAGTATCTGTTTGAGTTTGGAAGCAGTGTAGAACCCCACGAGATCCTGCCTTGTTTATAGATTTTATAAAATACATAAATACTCTTATCTTACAGCTCCAGGCAGTACAATGGCTTGGATCCAGAGCAGAGTTGGCATGGGCACAAGGATTTCCACCTGTGGAGCACAATTTTCTGGCCTCTCTTCTCCTGCTGCAGCTCCACATGCCTGCTGAAAATCTATTCCTTCTCACTCCTGACAGACTGTTGACTTCAAATGTTTAAACCATGTTTTGAGGTCTTGTGTTTTCCCGGGAATGCCAGAGCAATGGACTCAGCAAATACCATCTTACCGCTGCCTAACTGTGAAGTACAGGAATGGGAAAATCTATATGTGGGGGGGGGGATCCTGGCTAGATGTGGAAGGACAGAAAGGCAGGAGGCACAGAGATATAAGAGACGTCTGGGCAGACTCCCAATTCAACCTATAGGGAAATTTCCCTGGAGGGCTACTGCCCTGGGGGACCACTGGAAGGCAGGTACAAGCAGAGCCAAGCACCAGAAACTCAACAGTGCCTCAGGAAGCACTTGGGTCCTTCAGGTATAAGAGTGATCAGCATCGGCTCACCAGTTGACTTTTCCTAGAGGATTGCCAGTTTGAGGGAGGAGGAAAGGCCAATGACCACTTTTGGCACTACTGTGCTGAGTGGCCCGGCTTCGTTAGTTTGTAGCATCACAGAGACCACTCTGCTTGGCTTTCTTCGGGATCATTTTAACATCCCAGGCCACCTCTGATAGAAGAAATGATAATGGCATATAAGAAAGACACAATGAAAATGAACAGTCAGAAACAGGAAGAGACTGTGGACAGAAAGGATACAGGATAGGCAGGGAAATACTGGTAGATGTAGAAGACTGCAGAAGAGTTCTATGGGTGGTGCAGAACCAAACAGCTGCCCAGGATGGTAGTTACAGAAGTAATCATAAGGGTTCATATGGGTTAGCAGAATGATAAGCCTTTTCCTACTATGTGAAAGCAACTTTTAAAATGACTACTATAAAGTTTCACCCTATATTCATATGATATTATGCTCCTCTGTTTATTGTTAACAAGAATTTTAAAACAAAGTCAATATCAGATAGCATCTGCACTAAAGTCTCCATGAGGATGAGTTGCTTCGAAAGTCAATATCAAATAGCATCTGTACTAAAGTCTCCATGAGGATGAGTTGCTTCTTGGATGGACTAACAACTTGGTTTTGTTACTTTTGTTTTTTTAACCACGGCCTACTTCACAAAGGGATTTGCAACTTCAAGTTCACCTTCAGCTTGTCGTAGCCACAGCTGCTATACTCCTCGATATCCATCTGTTGGAGCTGGCCATGGATCAACTGAGTTGCATTCACAGATATCGTCCACTGATAGTTGGAATTGTGAGGGTAGTTTCTAGGCCAGAGAGGGGAGGCAATTTGTCCACTACTTCCCACAATGTTATTTCCAAACACTGAAATATGAGATGAAAATAAAACACTCTTCAAATCAATTTGTTGTATTAATAGCAACTTAGAAAACACATTCAAAGTGCCAAAAAAGTGGTTTCTTCCTGTCCGTGCATGCTCATACAAATGACCATGTATTGAGAAAAAAATCCTTCCAGTAGCAAATACTATGTGTGCATTTAGCTAATCACCCAGTGGATATCTCTGTATATTACAGATGCAATTAAACTAAAAATATCTATTATTAAATTATTGTGGTGAGAGGAGCCCTTTTCCGGGCCTCTAAAAGCACAGCTGTTTTTGTTATTACAATTTTTTCTATGTATCTCCCCTACCAACCTCCCCTAATTTGAAAACTGATAATTTTTGGTTTAAGTACAATGGTATTTACTTACAGTGAGCAAATGTGGCCTGGAAGCCCAATCCAGTTCCTGAGCCATCTGAGATGAATTTAACCCATAAAGACTGTGAAGTGATGATAGCTGTATGATTCATCAGTAAGGAGTTTCCACAATATCGCCCCATCAGCTCACCGCCAAGAATGCCTTCCCAAATTTCTAGGTAGTCTTTGGCACAGTTTTCACTTTCTTCCAACTGAAATTCCCTGTTTTAAAGAACAATACGAGTGCACTTATACCACAAATGGAAGTGGATGTACTGGATCATTGATCATTAATCCATCAGTATTACCCTACTTTTCCATTTACAAGAAGATGAAGAAGATGAAGAATATGAAGAGGAGGAGGAGGATGATATTGGATTTATACCCCACCCTTCACTACCCAAGGGAGTCTCAGAGCGGCTTACGAACTCCTTTCCCTTCCCCTCGCCACAACAGACACCCTGCGAGGTAGGTGGGGCTGAGAGAGCTCTGACAGAAACTGCCCTTTTTCAAGAACAGCTGCACGAGAACTATGGCTTGCCCAAGGTCATCCAGCAGGTGCAAGTGGAGGAGTGGGGAATCAAACCCCGTTCTCCCAGATTAGAATCTGTGCACTTAACCACTACACCAAACTAAGTATAGTAATAATGATGTAAAAATTTAAAATATTCATAAATCTAATGATTTTTGCAGTGGAAAAACTTATTATCTTGCTACACTGCTGTACTTAGAACTCTTTGTACCACTATTTCACCTACTGCATCTTCATAGGGTATTCTGTTCTTTATATTCTACTAGGAAAAAGGCCCGTTGTGGAAATAAATACAACGACCTCTAGAAAGAGGCTTTGGGCGGGTGCCCCGGCCTTGGACACTCAGTGTCAATTTGCTGTGGTGACCTCAGCAGGGTATAATGACACTGAGTCCACCATTTTCTCCAGAGGAACTGATCTCTGCTACCTAAAGAACAGTCGTAATTTTGAGTGATCTCCAGCCCTCACCTGGAGATTGGCAACGATGGTTCCCCAGAAGGGAACAGTTGGTTTGGAGGGTGGAGTCTATGGCTTTGTACCTGTCCAAGGTCCCACGCCTCCTGAAACCTCACCCTCTCCAGGCTCCATCCCTCACATCTCCAGGAATTTCCCACCTGGAGTTGGCAACCCTATCTCCTTCCCAGCCAATCATCAACCTACCTTTATTTCCCCCTCACTCTCCACCATCGGACTAGTTCTGGACTCAGGATGAATCTACCCTCCTACCATTCTTGGGCATGTCCATTTAAATATCCTAGACTGCAAAACTGTATTTTGGAAAATGTTTTAAATATACAAGACTTGCCCTGTGCTACAGAGGGAAGGCCTGGAGAGCAACCCCCCAGCAACTCCAAGGTGGGCGGGCCAGGGGGTTCCTGGAGGGACCAGGGTGGCATTTAAATCCCTCCCCATGCCTTCCCCAGCCTGTCTAAGGGCCAGCTTGTCCGAGCTCCCCGCTTAACTGCCTTCCCTTCCCTTCAAGGGAGGGGCTTGCCCGGGCTCCCCGCAGGTGCAGGGCACCCAGGCAAGCCAAGGGAAGGCATAGGGTGTGGCCTAATATGCTAATGAGTTCCTGCTGGGCTTTTTCTACAAAAAAAGCCCTGTTCAGAACTATCACTTCATCAGACACCAGTGAGAGTTCACCCACATAAAGAAACAAACCAAAGACTCCTTGAAACTAGAGTATGGATTATTGCCATTAAATTCTGGTTACTTTTTAAAAGAGATGACAATAGCCTTATTGCTCATATGTTAATGGAGTCCCAGTCTTCTATGTGGCTTTGTCATACAGAAGAAAAAAATCAATTCAGGTCCCGGTCACACGGGCCGGATAACATGGGAGGGAGGTGTGGCTATTTAACACGCCAGAACGTGATCCCACGCGTCGGCAGCCTGCCATGTTCCTTCCCTCCGTGTCAAGGAGGGGCCGGAGGGAAAAGCGGTGCTCCGGTGTGATGACACCGAGGGAGTCCGGAGGTAGCCTGTGGCAAACTGGTTGCTAGTACCTAACTCCACATTTTCAGCGGTATGCCACGGGTTGGCCACGGGTGCGTTCCACTTACCAGATGTTGTGGTGTGATTGCGCCCAGAAACTCTGCCATTCACTTGTGGCTCTCCCATGGCAAATTAAGCCTCCGTTGGGCTTAAATTGGAGACCTAACTCTGCATACAGAAAAGTCAGCTTTTAGGCTGATTAGGCAAAGACTGGTTGACGCTGAGAGGCAGGTTCTTGAGAGCTTTGCAAAGAGTAGATGCTCACCCTTTAATTTGGGGGTTTTACCTTTTGGGCATAGGGCTGAATATCTAACCTGTTTAATTATTTCAGTGTGGTTCCGCAGGGCCTGCAAGACGGAGCTCTTCTGCCAGGCTTTCGAGTAGGAGCCGCCGCCGCTACTGTTCCATCAATGCACCGTCGCCGAAAACTGGCAGAGATACCACCAGGGTGCAATCGAGCCCTGGGAAGAAGACTGGCTATCTGCCGCTTTGGAACTTATGTCATTGGTCCGGATCCACCCTAACAGAACCCATCTTGGAACTGGGAACATCAGAGCACCAGCACTTTGTTGTACTATTGTTATGTTTTTATCTTGTTTTAATTGTTTTAATTATGGCTTTGGCCTCAATTGTTAGCCGCCCTGAGCCTTAGGGGAGGGCGGGATATAAATTGAATTATAATGAATAAATAAATAAATAATGAGCCCGGGTAAACACAGAGCATATATGTTAGCCAGGTTTAATGTGTTGCCATTAGCAGTATTATATGGAAGATTCCAAAAAAACCCATTTGACAGTAGACTGTGTTCCTGCTGTAAGCGGGAGATAGAACTCTTGAACATGTGTTTCTTTCATGTACTTTTTACTCGGATGCTAGACTAGATGGACCACTGGTTTGATCCAACAGGGCTCATCTTTGTTCTCACTATGACATGAGGATTATGAGGGGGGTACTTATTGTCTGGCTACAGTACAAAGGAAGGCACAAAGCAGCTGGAGTCATTAGGTGACTCACTCAAACTACCCTTCCCTTCTGTGGGAATTATTTCAGTGTGGTTGAGTTTATTGCAAATGCTGCCCTGCCCTGTGTTGTATCCTTGGGCAGATAGCACCTCATCCCCACATGGATGAAAAATCTTTAACACATTTTCCTAACTGCATGTATCCATTCATTGGCCTTTTTAATTTAAATAGATTATCTCAAGAAATGAGCATATTAAGTTATACTGAGTAATACTTTTTAATGTTGTTATATTAAACTTTGTTTTAAGAATAACAGTATGAGGTTCTGAATGTGGGGTATTTTCTCCACCCAACCACCCTCCAGACACATAACAAGCTTGGAAGTTCTTTTCATGGTGGCAAGCAAGAATTTCGTTTAAATTTATATTGCCTGGCTTTTTGCTTGAGAAACCATTTGTTAGTCAAATTCAAAAAATAAAAATGGGAAATTTCACTCTGTCTAGATCAAGATGGGTAGCCATGTTAGTCTGTCTGTAGCAGTAAAAAAGAGCAAGAGTCCAGTAGCACCTTAAAGACTAACAAAATATGTGGCAGGGTAGGAGCTTTCATGAGTCACTGCTCGCTTCTGTATCTGAATCTGTACCTGAAGAAGTGAGCAGTAACTCATGAAAGCTCCTACCCTGCCACATACCTTGTTAGTCTTTAAGGTGCTACTGGACTCTTGCTCTTTAGCCCAGTCTGTTTGTTACACTGACTGATATCTTATCTCCCTGCGAATTCAGAAGATGCTCTTCTTATTACCCGGTTATAAGAGGTACTCTGCATAAGATAAGAGCTGATTGTTTGGTGCAGTGGTTAGGAGCACGGGCTCTAATCTGGGAGAACCGGGTTTGATTCCACATGCAGCTGCTGGTGTGACCTTGGGTCAGTCACAAGTTCTCTCAGAGATGTTCTCTCATGAGCAGTCCTTGAAAGAGCTCTCTCAGACTCACCTATCTCACAGGGTGTCTGTTGTGGGGAGGGGAAGGGGAGGGGAAGGAGAATGTAAGCCACTCTGATACTCCATTGGGTAGTGGTGGGCAGGGTATAAATCCAATCTCTCCTCCTCCTAGGATGTGTCATTAGGTTCTAATACTGTGGGAGGCCTTGACTCCTTTGGATAAAACAATTAATGCTTTTAATTTTATGAGGGGGGGATCATTATTTTGGGGGGTACTGAATGTGCTTGTTTTTTTAAAAAAACTGCTTCCAGAAGAAAATGCTTTCTACTATTTTAAAAAGCTTTGCTATAAATATTGGTTTGAATTTTTGGTAGTGGACGTGTACATATTGCTTGGAAAATGCATGAATTCCAGAACAGATGTCATGTGCTCTAGCTTAATTTATAGATGAAAGGCTCTGTGACTCAGCTGTGGGAGTTGTGGGAAAACCATGACACTTTGCCCATTTCAAAGCACTTTTCCTGTACAAGTCCTAGTGCAGGAACAGAATGTAAGTTTAAAATGCAGGCAGCATGGCTGCAAAAAGTTAGAAGCCCTAGGTTCAAATGTACCTTTACCTCCTATTTAGTTTTCAGTCTCACCTGCTGGAGATTACTCCATTATTTACGCCAGAAAAGTTTCAATATTGTAGATATTGTTTTTTGTTGCTGTTTCTACATTAGTATTTATTTGTTTATTTATTTACTTTGATTTTTATCCCCCCCTTCCCACCAAGGAAGGCTCAGTAGTACAATAAAACACACAGTATTTAAAAGTTACTCTTTTTTGTTGTTTCTACATTTATTTATTTATTTACTTTGATATATTTTTTTAACACCCCCCCCCCTTTCTGCCAAGGCGGGCTCAGGGCAGCTTACAACATATTTGTAGTACAATAAAACACACAGTATTTAAAAAGATAAAACAGTTAAAACCATCATAATTTCAAAGTGCTAGTAGTACAGGTAATAAACGATGGCGGTGTTCTTCCGGCATCCAGATGGCATCAACCACCATTGCCCAGGTCCTTGCCAGTAAAAGAAGAAGAAGAAGAAGAAGAGATTGGATTTATACCCCGCCCTTCACTACCCAAAGGTGTCTCAGAGTGGCTTACAAACTCCTTTCCCTTCCCCTCCCCACAACAGACAGAAACTGCTCTTTTTCAAGGACAGCTGTGCCA